AAAGGCAGATGCTTAACCAGCTGAGCCACCCAGGTGCCCCTCTGGCTCTTGTGTTTTTATCCATTCTGCCAATCTCTGTCTTTTAACTGGAGATTTTCATCCGTTTACATTTAATTACATTTAATTACTGGTAAGAAGGGACTCACTTCTGTCACTCTATTTGTTTTCTATATGCCCTACAGCTTTTTTTGTTCCTCATTTCCTGCAATGCTGTCTTCTTTTTAGTTGAGTTTTCATAGGGAAATGTTTAAATTCCTTTTTAATTTCCTTTTGTGTATATCCTATAGTTATTTCTTTGTGGTTATCCTAGGGATTACATTTAACACCCTAAAGTTATAATGCTCTAATTTGAATTTATACCAGTTTAACTTCAATAACACACAAAACTGCTGTTCACCTCTTTGCAACTCTGATCATCAGCAGCAATCCTCAATGAGAGCTCAGTTTCCTGATATTTGGAGGACAGCGTCCTTTTTGCCCACCATTTCTGTGGCAAGCCGTGTGTAGGCTGCTCCTACACATACACATACAAGTCATAGCTGTCTGCCTTGTGGCTTGAAATGGGAGATGGGTATATCCACTCTGCTAAGCGCTGAAATTGACCAAAATTAAACTCACCATTCTTCCCCTGGAAGGAGCAATCCTTCCATAGACTTCAGAGTTTCAAAACAGTTACATCAGATCCTGTTGTTATGATTCTTATCTAGGTAGGGAGATGGATTCCTGAAGCTTCCTACTCTATTTTCCCAGAATCCTCTTCATTCTGAAAGTTTTTTTAATCCATACCCTTCAGCTATGTCTCATTCCTGTGGCCCAAAGTGGTCCCATCCCGATTCTAGCACAACTTTTAATCAATTCCTTCTGCTATCAGGAGATATTTAAAGTGTTCCAGGGGCCAGCAGGGGCTAGAGAGGAAACATTTTGGCCTTCCTATCATTTCCATGTGTCAAAAACATTATCCTTCATTTTTTTTTAATCATTAAAAATGTTAAAACCCATTATCAGCTCATGGGGCATAACACACACAGGTCATGGGCTGATGTGGCTCTTGGCCGAGGTCTTCTGAGTCCTGATATATTCCAAGTACCAGGGGCTACCTTAATATTAAATAACCAACTTTCTCAAAAGTATAAGAGGGGGTGCCTGGTGGGCTCAGTCAATTAAGCGGCCAACCCTTGATTTCAGCTCAGGTCACGGTCTCAGGGTCCTGGGATTGAGTCCATGTCTGGCTCCACGCTCAGCAGGGAGTCCGTTTTCAGGATTTTCTCTCTCTCTCTCTCTCTGCCCCTCTCCCCCACTCACACACTCTCTCTCTCAAATAAATAAATAATTTTTTAAAAAGAAGCTACAATAGAGGGATGCCTGGGGGGGCTCAGTTAGTTAACCATCTGCCTTTAGCTCGGGTCATGATCTCAGGGTCCCGGGATCGAGTCCCACATTGGGCTGCCTGCTCAGCAGGGAGTCTGCTTCTCCCTCTGCTTCCTTCCTCCTCCCTGCTTCCTCCCTTCTCCCTCTGCTGCTCCCCCTGCTTGTGTTCCTTTTCTCCCTGTCTCTTTCTCTGTCAAATAAATAAATAAATAAAATAGTACAATAAAATGGTATAGTTGCCTTTTCTTTTTTTATTTTTTTTAAATAATTTTTTTTAAAAGATTTTATTTATTTGTCAGAGAGAGAGGGAGAGAGAGCGAGCACAGGCAGACAGAATGGCAGGCAGAGGCAGAGAGAGAAGCAGGCTCCCCACTGAACAAGGAGCCCGACGTGGGACTCGATCCCAGGACGCTGGGATCACGACCTGAGCCGAAGGCAGCCGCTTAACCAACTGAGCCACCCAGGCGTCCCTAGTTGCCTTTTCATATTAACTAGGTTAAACAGTACTAAAAACCTTTGGTCAGATATACTCAATACTACTATTTTGGCAAAGTCTTAGTCAGGATTTTATGAAGTGGAAGGATTCGAAGTCCCCAGAAATGGTTGTTTTGTACTATCTAAACTCACCAAACATAATATAGTACTGGGATTTTCCGTTCAGGTTCTTCTGATCCACGTCTGCAGGAAAGATCTTAACGTAGCCCCCTCCACAGTCCATCTTCTGCTCGTGTTTTACTGTGTACTGAATGACCAGAGTCTTCCCTTTGTTGCTAAATGGTTTGAATCGTGCAGAGATGGCATAGAATCGGCCATTTTGAGTGGTTTGCAGACCTTTAAACAAACAAACAAATACTCATGAAGGATTGGGAATGACACTGTGCTCAGTGCTGCAGGGAATTAAATGGTTGTCCGTTCCCCACCCTCAGTAATAACTTATGTCACTCTGGAGGCTGAAACATATTTTCACAATAACACATGACAGGTATACCAGTAACACGCTCTCTGCTGCCACAGAACTTTCCACGCTCTGTTGCTTTTGTGCTCAATACACCACTGTCATGCCCTAAGTTAAAGAGACACTTCAGCTTTAAATGACAAATATGCAACTTAATTATGGATGAAAAGTTAATTTTGCTTCATCTTCCAAAGAAAGGGTGGGACTATACAATAAAGCTTGTGTAGCAACTTAATTAAAAAAAAAACAAAAACAAAAACAGAGCATCCCACATCTTTTCTTGAATTCTATCTTAAAATAGTTGCTTAAGGGGCGCCTGGGTGGCTCATTCGTTAAGCGGCTGCCTTCAGCTCAGGTCATAATCCCAGGGTCCTAGGATCAAGCCCAGCATCAGACTCTCTGCTCAGCGGGAAGCCTTCTTCTTCCTCTCCCACTCCCTCTGCCTGTGTTCTCTCTCTCACTGTCTCTCTGTGTCAAATAAAAAAATATATATAGTTGCTTAAGACACACCACAGTAGACAGAGGACAGAGCACTGTCCTGGAAAAAGTGCTTCACTGCATGGGATGTGCTGGCCCACAGCTGTCCTCTTTTTACAAAAATACCACCCTTTTGTCACATGAATCATCTCATATTTTATAAGTTTAGGTGTTCACTTCAAAACTAGCCCCAGTATCCCCAGTGCCTTGACCATGTGTGCTCTCAGTAGATGTGTGCCGGAGTGAATGAAACACAGAGCCTCGGGATCCCAGACCGGACAAGAAAAAAAAACACCGTGGAGGAAAACACAAATGACTCTAAGCGGACACCCTTATCCTTGGATAAACCTGATGGAACCACCTGCTAATTTCACTCTACTTTTGACCTTTGGGCTGGATTTTTTTTTTTAAAGATTTTATTTATTTATTTGTCAGAGAGAGAGAGAGCACGCACAAGCAGGCAGAGTGGCAGGCAGAGGCAAAGAGAGACTCGATCCCAGAGACCCTGGGATCATGACCTGAGCTGAAGGCAGCAGCTTAACCGACTGAGCCACCCAGGTGTCCCTGGGCTGAATTTTTATCAACTCATTGGACCAACATGTAATATAGGAAACAAGGCATATATAGTAGCAAACTGGAAGCTGCCAAAGGACAACCCTGCAGTAACAGACTCAAGATGGAGGTTGAGCAGAAGGTTGGTGAAGAGGGAAACTTTTCATCTAAATCAGGGGTCTGCAAACCTTTTCTGCAAAGCCAGAGAACAAATATTTTAGACTTTCTGGGCCATATGGTCTCTGTCCCAACTTACTGACTTTGCAGCACACAAAAAAAGCCATAGCTCTATGTAAATGAATGGGCATGGCTGTGTTCCATTAACACTCTACTTATGGACCCTGAAATTTTATATATTTCACTGAATTTTATATAATTTTTATATGACACAAATACTACTCCCCTTTTGATATTCCCTCAATAATTAAAAAAATGTAAAAAAAATCATTCTTATCTCACCAGCTATGCAAAAAACAGGTGGTAAACAAGTTGTGGTGTATCCACCTTTTATCAACAGGAATGAAAAGACAGAAGTCATCCTTGCCACCAGAAAGGTACTGACTTGGGGTGAGGGGGTAGGTGGAGGGTGCAATGGGGACCTCTGAAAATATTCCCTATCTTGACCAGGGTGTATAGATGTAAACACTCATCTTTCTGTACCCTTAAGATATGCACCTGACAACATGTACCTTTTAACATCAATTTTTTTTTTTCTTCTTAAAGTGAAAACAAAATGAGAAATATCCCTTAACCTTTTACCCTTTGCAGGTCAGAGACCTGGGGTCTCCAAACTCATGAGACCAGCTGGGATACAATGGGGCGATCTTGGGCAAGTAAAGAAAGGAAAGAGAAAAAATGCCAGAACTTATCCAAGCCTTAGTTTTCCCACCAGTGAACGGGCTGTAGAGGTGTTAGGGGTGTGCCACACCTACCCTGCAAGGCTGCTACGGTGGTGGTGTTGGGGGGTGACCCTTAGCTCGACGTTCTCACCATTCCTACACTAACCTTTGTCTTTCTCTTTATGACCATAAAATTTCCCCGACGAGAGTCTAAAATGCCCAAATTGAGAGTCATTGGTGGACTGCACCCATCGGTTCCTCCAGCGCTCTGTGGGGGTAAACAACAGTGGTTAGAGCGGAAAGTGTTCCCTTAAGTCATGAAAGGTGTATTGGGCGGGGGGAAGGAGAGGGAGGCTTGAGGCTTCGAAGCTTCGAGGCTCCACCACCACCAATCCCGCGGTGATGGACGGGGGCCACTGGTGACTCGGGCTGTTGGCTGGGCAGCTTACGCCCCCACTCCACCACCACGGGTATCGCCTCTTCACCTCCGTCTAGAAATTCCTCTTGGAAGTAGACAGTGGCTAGCGCCACCCTCAACATGCAGACCGCCCAAAGCGGAACGTGAGCCACAGCCATTAAAGGGGCGCCGCACTTCTCATAACCGCTCCTTTGCTCCCAGCTGTCTCCGCAGCGTGCCTGGCCGCCCCGGAACTACAACTCCCGTCACGCCTCGCGATTGTGATCTGAGGCTCCATTGGCCCTCAGCGCGCAGTGCACGCCGGGCCCGCCCCGGCACTATCACTCCCATGACGCCCCGCGATTGTGACCTGGGGCCCCATTGGCCCTCGGAACGCGGCGCGCGCCGGGATATGTAGTCTCTTTCCGCCCTAGCGCTGTTGCCGGGGGCAACGGTCCCATCTGGCAGCCGTGTTTGGCCGAAGCCCGGTGGCGGCCTCTGCGGATGGACATCGTGGGAGGAGGTTGGCAGGGTTGACTGGGCTCCCGCCGGGTTTGGCGGCTGGACTCCGCACAGGAGTTGCGGGGAAAAGGGAGCGTTCTGAGGCTGGGCTGGGAGGGCGGCGGGAGGGCGGCCCGGCGCCTCTCCCTGTTTCCCCGTCGGGCCCACTTGGGAGCGTGGTCGGGAGTGGGTAGCTCCCGGCGGTAGGGAAGAGCCCAATGGCCTGAAGGGGCCAGTGTTTTCAGAGTTAGGTTTACTTATTTTTAACAACTTGACTGAAGATTCGTTTACGTACCATACAATTCACCCCTCTTCGATGTACAACTCAGTTACTTTGATTTATAAGTTTACTGAGTGGTGCGGCCATCACCACGATCCAGCATTAGGACTTTTCCGTCGCCCCAAGGATATCCCTCCTGGCCCTTTGCAGGCCCTCCTCACTCCCACTCCCAGCCCCAGGCAACCACTGAGGTTCCTCGCGACTGTGCAGATTTGTCTTTTCTGGATGGGATTATACGGTGTGTGGGGTTTTTTTTTTTTGTTGTTGTTGTTGTTTGTTTGTTTTTGTTTTGTTTGTTTTGCATCTGGTTCCTTTCCCTTTGCATGATGTGTCCGAGATGCATGCACGTTGTTGTGTATATCTGTATTTGTTCTTTTCTTCTTGCGGGATAGTATTTCGTTTATGGATGGACCTCGCTTCTCATGCATTCACTAGTTAATGGACTTTTGTGTTGTTTCCACTTCTTGTCTACGTTTATGAACGTTTGCATACATTTCAGTCTTCTTGGACTAGGTGGGAGCTGTCATACTGTTTTCTGAATTGGCCCCTGTACCATTTTACAATCCCCCATGACAGTTTTTTCACATCCTCCCCCAGTCTTGTTATCTGTAGTTTTGATTGTAGGCATTCTAGTGGCTGTGAAGTGGGATCTGGTGGTATCAATTTGCATTTGCCTAATGGCTAGTGATGCTGAAGGTCTTTTCATGTGTTTGCTGGCCATTCACCTCTTTTTTTCTTTCTTTTTTTTTTTTTTTTTTTTTTGTTCAGGGCAGTGTCTGTTCATATCTTTTGCCTATTGGTTTATTTTTAATTGTGTGTTTTAAAAATACATCAGCCTGTGATGAAATGGATATAGTACAAAATTTGCCTCTTTAACCATTATTGACTTATTTTTAAACCTAGGGAAACTTTCAGAAGAGCTAGATGCCGAAAAACCTGGTGTGGTGGTCGGGCTTCCCCTCTGACCCGCAGAATGGCCGGGGCCAAATCTTCTCCTGAGCTTCAGTTACAAAAATATTAATAAAGGTAGCTGTCGATGTGCCTCCGCTTCCTCTTTACCACGTCCTTCCAGCTAAAAGCCCATTAAAAGCAGGTATTCTAAATATTACTATCTAAATCTATTTATTCCATGTCCTACAGTAAACATAGGAATCCTATGAAGGTCATAGTTATTACCACCTTTCTACAGATGAGCAAGCTGAAGCACAAAGTGGTTAAGTAACTTGCCCAGTGTCACACAGGCTAGGAATTCTCCACTGTTTCTCTTGGGTGTGGTTTTGTATTCACTGATCTCTGTGGTCAGGCTGGTGCTAGGTTAGTTAGTACTATTAGTACTCAGGCCTTAGTACCCAGGTGATTAAGATGGGGACAAGTAGGCAAGCACACCAGGCAGAGAAACAGAAAGTAAAAGAAAAATAACTCACACTTACACGGAATCTTAGGTCTGGGTTAAATACTTTTCCTTGCACAAAATAATTGAGTTCAGGTTTGAAAGGCGCAGAGGACATAAGGTTGCCAGATTTAACAAATAAAAATACGGGACACCAGTTGAATTGGAATTCCAGGTAACCAACAAATAAATTTTTAGTCCGAAAATGTTGGAACATACTACTTTTTAGTGTAAAGATATTTGGGTCGGATGCCTGAGTGGCTTGGTCAGTTAAGCATCAACTCTCGATCTCGGCTCAGGTCTTGGTCTCAGAGTTGTGAGTTTAGGCCCATGTTGGGCTCCGCACTAGGAGTGGAGCCTACCTAAAAAAAAAAAAAAAATTAGGGTCACACTTATGTTCTAGAAATTATTTACTGTTTATCGTCAGTTCAAATCACCAGGTGTCCTGTATTTAATCTGGCAATCCCAGTAAGCTCGTTTTCCAAGTGGACAGGGATGGGAAAAAAGGCTTTTTTAGGTCTCACAGTGAATTAAAAAAATAGTAATAATGCATGGTCTTGCTAAGACATTCAGACAGTATGGGAACAACCATGGTTGCCCATCTTGTCTTTTCTGCTTCACATAATATCATGCTGGCGACCTTATTATGCAGACAGATCTCCCTCGTTCCTTTTAACAGCTGTATTGTGTGCCCTCATCTGCACGCGCTCTTCTGGATCGCACCAGGTCTCTATGGACGGGTTCAGGTTTTTGACGAGTACAAACAATACTGCTGTGACATTCCTTGAACATGCGTCTGTGTGTATGTTTCCGAGTGTAATTGTAGGTAAATTTCCAAACGTGAAATTGCCAGGGCGATGCAGGTCTCTGCATTTCCCACTCTCCTTGCTGTTGCCGTGTTCTTTACTAAGGGGCTGCTGCAAACACACACCTACTTGTGCTGTATTTTCCCACTTTGTAAGATTTTAAACTTTTTGAAAACCTTTGGAAATCTTGTAATGCATCATTTTTATTCTCTTAGGGACTCATGGGAACTCTGAGAATATGGTGAAAGCACTGGCCTCTCTCCCCCAAAGAACGTACACCAGCATGTACACACAACATGCAGCCGACATTTGGTGGGTGGTGCTGTGTCTGTCCGTAGCCCCTGCATCCTTCCAGGGCAGTGGTTTTCACACTTGAAGTATGATATTCTGGGGGGCTCCTTAAATATACAGATTGTATTTGAGCCATTCTTTATGAGAAAGTTGGGGACAGTTGGGTAAAGGAGGAGCCCTGGTTTAGGAAGCAAGTGGTGGTGTAACTGGCCAGGCTGTGAAGCATGGTGGGGAAGAAGGGGGCCTTTGGTACCAGACCTGAGCTTTGAATTCGGCTCTGCTGCTCCACCAGCCAGGTGACGACCTCAACTGGTGACCTTGACTGGTGACCTACCCTTTAGGGGCTTTTCTTGGTCTCTTCTGTAAAAGGGGATGACAGTAACTGACTCAGGGTTACATGAGGATTAAATGAGATAATACAGCTCTGAGCAGAGCACTGGGGACACCACTGGAGCCTGAGAAGCACTGGCTCTTCTCTTTAACATTTAACATGTCTCACTGAAGACCTGGTGTAGAACGGTAATTCACTTGGTGCTGCTGGGTGTTGATGTTTTCATTGTCATCCTGGGGCTTGAAGGGAAGGCTCTAGCCGACTGCGAGGAGGGGTCTGAGTTCTCAAATGGGAGGCATTGAAAAATATGAATTCACGATAGGAATGTCAGTTATTCATTTTTTTTTTAAGATCACAAGTAGGCAGAGAGGTGCAGAGAGAGAGGGGGAAGCAGGCCCTCCACCAAGCAGAGAGCCCAATGCAGTGCACGATTCCAGGACCTGAGATCATAACCTGAGCCGAAGGCAGAAGCCCAACCCACTGAGCCACGCAGGCTCTCCATCCTTTTCTTTCTTTCTTTTTTTTTTTAAAAGATTTACGTATTTATTTATTTGACAGAGAGAGGGAACACAGCAAGCAGGAGCGACAGGCAGAGGGAGAGGGAGAAGCAGGCTTACTGATCAGGGAGCCCAATGGCGGGGCTCGATCCCAGGACCCCAGGATCGTGACCTGAGCTGAAGGCAGATACTTAACTGACTGAACCACCCAGGCGCCCCTGAACTTACTCTTTATTTTTTTTCTTTACTCCCTAGAATGGCTTCCATAAGAAGAGCCAGCCATCCCGCGCACAATATTTTTGGTGATTTTAGTGATATTTCCTTAGAAGATTCAAAAATGGAAGAAATCAGAAACTTGAAAATCAGTAGAAGTCTTACCAAGATAGCACCTGCTCATAGCAGATTTCTAAAAGGAAACCAAACCATGGGTGTAAAACACTCACTCCTGAAAGAGAAGGCTGTTGTGGATGGTGGGCACAAGCTCTCCTCAGGGAGACCCCTGACCACTGCCTCGAAGCTCAGGGCCAGCGCCGCGCTCACAAAGCTGGCTCAGATAGAAACCAAGATTATGAACCGGAAGGCGCAGATGGTTTTGTCAGACATGGAATCTGACCTGAAGACCTCTGGGGAGAGTCTTCCAAAGAGCACAGACACAGTCCTTCCCAGGAGTACAGTCGAACTTTCTTCATACAGCCTGGAAAAAACCTCCCAGAAACAAGCCCATGAAATTCCTGTGGCTGAAAGAGGCGCGCAGAATGGGAAGGTCAGTAGGTTTCTAAAGAGGAGGGAACCACCCGTTGAAAATACTTTCCCTGAAGCACATTTTGGAAAAGAGAGGAATTTTCAAACACCCAAAGAGAAAAAACCTGCTAGAAAACTAGCTTCTCCAGACAGCGATGAGGAGGAAATGAAAGAGTTGCTTGGAAGCCTGATGGAATCTTCTAGAGAAAAAGAAACATACACGAGTCAACATTTCAGAAGCCCCAAAGTCAGTGAAAAAGAACAGACAAAACTATTCTCGGTAAGGTTTGCATGTACTTATTATTATTATTATTATTTTTTTTAAAGATTGATTTATTTATTTGGGGGGAATGGGGCAAAGGGAGAGAGAAACTTTAACCAGACTCCCTGCCGAGTGTGGAGCCGGAGACAGGGCTTGATCCACGACCCTCAGATCATGACCTGCGCTGAAACCAAGAGTCGGATGCTGCTACTACTACTACTACTACTTCTCCCTCTCCCCCTCCCCCTCTTCCCCCTCCTCCTTCTTTTTAAGATTTTATTCATTTTAGAGAGGGCACAAGCAGAGCTAGGGACAGAGGGGGAGAGAGAGAATCTTAAGCAGGCTCCATGCCCACTGTGGAGCCTGATGTGGGGCTTGATCTCAGGACACTGAGATCATGACCTGAGTGAAAATCAAAAGTTAGAAACTTAACTGAGCCCCCAGGCGCCTCACGTGTCCTTATTCATTTTTTTTTAAAGATTTTATTTATTTATTTGACAGACAGAGATCACAAGTAGACAGAGAGGCAGGCAGAGAGAGAGAGGGAGAAGCAGGCTCCCTGCCGAGCAGAGAGCCAGATGCAGGGCTCGATCCCAGGACCCTGGGATCATGACCTGAGCCAAAGGCAGAGGCTTTAACCCACTGAGCCACCCAGGTGCCCCAACCCACGTGTCCTCCTTAATGTCCTTCTTAATGCGTCTGCCCTTTGTATTGTGGCACTAGAGACTCGATGGCAGCCGTCTCCCACGGGCTGCCAAGGAAGGGGTTTGACAAGGAACCGTTGGGCTCCAGGCAATCCTGGCTCCTTGTTGTGGGGCCTGCCCTGCGGGTGACGGGATTTGGGGCAGTTTAGGCAGTTTACCGTATCTGGAGGAAGTGTGGGCACCTCGGTTCAGCACTGCGTGTGACTGCTCGCCAGCGGCCCCACATCAGCGGCCCCACACAGGAGACGTGGCTTCGCTGCACTCGCATTTTTTTCAGTTGAGATGAAATTCACATCACCTAAAAGTAACATTTGCGAGATGAACAAGTCAGCGCCATTTAGTCCATCCGGATGTTGTACAACCACCGCCTCTGTCTGGTTCCAGAACATCTTCAGCTGCCCCAAACCCTGTACCTGTTAAATAATCACTTCTCATCTTCCCCTCCCCCAGCCCCTGGCAACTTCTAGTCGGCTTTCGGTCTCTGTGGATTTGCCTGGTGGGGCCTTTTCGTAGACATGGATTCATCTAGTATGTGGCCTTCTGTGACTGGCCGCTTCTGCTCCGCGTAATGTTTTCGAGGTTCATCCACACTGTAGCACGTGGCAGACCTTCATGCCTTTTCACGGCCGAGTAAGACTCCATTGCGTGAATATACTACGGCTTACCTATCCGCCATCCATGTTGGGCGTTTGGGTCTTTTCCACCTTCTCGCTGTTTGTCAGTAGTGCTGTTATGAACCTTGTGTACACATAATCTGTTTGAGTCCCTGTCTTGGGTTCTCTGGGGCCTGTCCTTGTGAGTGCAGATACTGGGCCCTATGGGTCGTTCTGTGGGTAACGTACTGAAGCAAGGCCAAGCTGTCTTTGACAGCAGCTGCGCCATTTGCCTTCCCACCACCAGTGCACGGGGGTTCCACTTTCTCCACAGCATCACCTGTCCTTGTGATCAGAGCTAACACTGGCGACTAGAGCCATATTCGTGGGTGTGAAATGATGGGAAAGCTGCATTTTAAGGGGGAAAAATATCTGTATATACATTTTGATTCTGTTGAAGGTCCAGGCTACCACAGATCATATACTCAGGGGCCTTAATTAATTAACTAATTTTATTTACTTATTTTAAAAAAGATTTTATTCATTTGAGAGAGAGTGAGGAAGAGAGCATGAGTGGGGGGAGGGGCAGAAGAAGAGGGAGACGGTCCTTAAGCAGACTCTGAGCTGCACACAGAGCCCGATGTGGGACTTGATCCCAGTACCCTGAGATCATGACCTGATCCCAAGGCAGACGCTTAACTGCTTAAGCCACCCAGGTGCCCTTCAGGGGCCTTAATTTAGAAAAGGTGTAACTAACAAAATTTGTTTGAAAGCCAAGTGATATTTCTGATTATTTGTGGAGTATTTCTGGTCCCAATATTACTTTGTTTAGAGGTTGTGGCTTGACCTCTAGAAATGAGGGGGGAGGGATAGAAAAGGGGCACGGAATAAGAACTATTTGATCACTGATCCTTGGCCTCATGCCCCAATCCGGCCACATTGTTCAGTGGCAAGGACTTCATTGTTACCTGTTTGGTAAGTAATTTCACTTATTTCTGCCAAAGTAGGATCGGATCCCAACTCAGCCAAGAATCCTTTCGCCACCCAGTGAGGAACTTTCCAGCCCAAAGTCATTTCGGACATCACGTCTGCCAGGCTCACAGTCCGCAGACGGGACCCTCTGCAGCGTGCGTTCTAGAGCTCGCTCCTCACAGACTCACACTTCGGGGGACACGGCCACCCGCACGGCATCGCTTCCCATCACTGGCCCCTCTCCAAAGTCAGCCTCCGTGGTGCAGCAGGACAAGCTCTCCTCCTCCCCTGGAAGGAGTGAGGCTGGGCCTTGTGATGAGTCACTCTCAGAGGCTGCCAATGACAGCCTGAACGGTAACCCACGGCCCTGTGCCCAGCCGTCACCCTGGGTGGGAAGGGCGAGTCCATCTGGAGGGTCCCTGGCAGGAGAGGTGGGGTCAATGGGCATTGCCACGGGGAGCGCGTGGCTCGCGCTACAGCCTCTGCTTCCCGACCTCCTTTCTTATTGGAGGGGCCAAGTCAGATTTTTGTTCTGTCTCTGATGTCTTCATCCAGTGACCCTGACCAATGAGAGCAATGACCCGAGGACAAAATCCTAGAACCACGTACAGCAGAAGGGTGACTCAGTGCTCCTTCTGGAGAAAGAGAAGCTTACCTCCTTTCTTTTTTAAATTCGGAAAAGGAAATCTCTAACCAGTCAAAATTAGAAATTTCTATTATTTCAGTGTTATTCAACATTGTTTTTGTCTTTTTTTTCAAAAAAGATTTATTTATTTGAAAGAGAGAGCAAGCAGGGGGTAGGGCAGAGAGAAAGAGAAAGCAAATCCTAAGCTGACTCCTCACTGAGCTCAGAGCTCCATGCGGGGCTCGATCCCACAACCCTGGGATCATGATCTGAGCTGAAATCAAGAGTCAGACGCTTAACCAACTGTGCCACCCACGCGCGACAACATTATTTTTATCTTAATATTACATGTACTTAAAAAAGAAAGGAGGGGCGCCTGGGTGGCTCAGTGGGTTAAAGCCTCTGCCTTTGGCTCAGGTCATGATCTCAGGGTCCTGGGATCGACTCCTGCATCGGGTTCTCTGCTCAGCAGGGAGCCTGCTTCCCCCTCTCTCTCTGCCTGCCTCTCTGCCTACTTGTGATCTCTGTCTGTCAAATAAATAAATAAAATCTTTAAAAAAAAAAAAAAGGAAAAAGATTTGTAGCCAATGCTTACGTCTTCCGTCTGGGGCGTGTCATTGTGAGATCCAAGTTAAACTGTGTCTTGAGGGCCCAGTGGGCACGGGCCTGTGCCAAGTGTTGTGTTGGCGGGAGCTTGATGGCCAACAGGCCCACGAGCGCCCTGCCCCCTGCATGCTAGGGGATCCGGAACTCGTGACTCAGCAGTAGGGGAGGAAAAATGGCTTTTCCACGGTCTCAGCCGGGGCCCTGCAACAAAAGACAGATTCACAGAAGAAAAGCATACAGACGTTAAGTAAATATCCAGTATAAGTTTTATGTAACATAGGAGCCTTCATAAGGAAATGGACGCCTGGCGAGATAGTTGTTTGTGAACGTTTTATGCTAGACTCAATGAGGAGTGGGAAGCCGTGGAAAAACGTGATTGGACAAAAGGCAATGAGCTAGGGGTAGGAAACGGGCAAACTTAGAGGCCTGCTGGGGTTTCTGTTGGCATCCCCCCATCTTGGAAAGAGGAGGCTCCTTTCCTGCAAGTGGAGGGAGGGCACTTCTCACGGGAGGGTCTCATGAGCTGCTTCAGGGCAGAAGGACAGGGAATTCTCGAAGCACCTGCCATGGGTCAAGTTCCTTCAGCCTGAAATACTCAGTATGCCAGGGTGCCGAGTCTTGGGGTGGTGTGTTCCGAACCCTGTCTCAGACTAATGTGGGTGTGAATGCCGCAGTGGGGCCGCAGCAGCTCTGCCGAGACGGGGGTGGGGGAGGTGTTGCCAACACAGGTGCCCTCCGTAGGGGTGTGAGAAGCCCCTTGGGGCACCCTCAGTGGCTGCCATCTACAGGATGGCATGTGACACCTCGCTAACCGTGGTTTTGATCCTTGGGCCCGAGGGGGTGGTAAGTAAGTGTTCTTGCCCCCCAGCCCCATGTACGGCCAGTCCCGCTGCCTCTATGCCCTCACTGCCGGCCTGGAGGGCTCTCTCCTGGTGGCCGGTCCCTGCCCTCCCTCATCCAGATGTAGCCTCAGAGAAGGAGGCAAGCTCGGAGCGGTGAATACATTGAGTGAATACATGATATAGCTGGCATGGACGTCCTGGCCTCACCTCTTACTGGCTGTGCAGTCTTGGGCTCTCTGTGCCTCAGTTTCAAGTCCAAGTCCAAAATCACCCAGTGCCTTTGCTCAGGCCAGCCGGGATGCCTTTCTGCGCAGATGCTCTTCCGGGGTTGTCTTTGCACCTGCCTGCCATGTGAACTGTGGCGAGTGGTGGAGTTAGAGAGAGCTCGGGGGACGGGTGAGCCCCCAGGATTGCAGTGATGAGGGAGATTCATTCTGGGGCTTCGGGCCGCCAGTGTTGGAGGTCAGGCAGCGTGGGCCTCGCCCCCTCGCCTCCAGCCCTGTGCCACTGCCACACACATTCTCCCTCTCTCACCACACCCGCCCCCTTCCCGGGCTTCAGGGCCTGAACTGAACCACGTCGTAGAGCTCCTGCCAGTGTTGGCCGATGTTCGCTGCCCATCCTCCTGGAAGCGCAGGCTCATTTGTTGGGTCCAGAGGAATCTGGAATACCGGAACTCCACATAGGATTCTCTACTCCCAAGTCTCCAGCACCCATGAGTTCAGGTGCTGGCGACGGGACGTTTGGCGTGCCCAGTGCTGGTTCACTTTAGGCTCCTGTGCCCTTAAGTGGCTCTAAATGGGAACTTGGCCACTTTGGGTCTAGTCTTGTATCTGCCTGAGGTGGCCCCCACCTCACCCCCCATACCTTGAGCACATTTGACACCACGCGTCCTTCACTGCATTGCCATCATCCACTCATCTGGCCCAGTGTCTGTTTTTATAAATAAAGTTTTATTGGAACATAGCCACATCCATTTGTTTACACTGAGTAACTGATACAGTCGAGGGTACAAAGTGGAAAATATTTACTACTTAGAGAAGAGGTGTGTGGATCCCTGTGCTGGCTTATTAAGGACAGAGACGGCTTCCTGCATTTCTATCCTTAGCACTCCGCACTACCTCATAAGGAAACAAATGAGTCAATGTTGCCCTGTTGCATTTTTGATTCCAGATTTTCGAATCAATCTTTTATCCCTTGAAGATCTGGCTCCAGCTGTCAGCGAGAACTCAAACCTGGAACAGAGAGTAAGTACAGCCAACGTCACTTTTCATCGTCAGTGACGTGGAAAGGTTTGTAATGGTGGTGCTTCATTGAGGCCCATGGTTCTTAACCCCCAGGGTACTCTTAGCATGTCTGGAGACATTTTTAGTCATGACTGGGGTAGAGGGCGCTGCTTGCATCTGGGGGTGGCGGCCAGGGACGCTGCTCAGGGTCCCGCACTGCACAGGATGGCCCCGCTGCAGACAATGTTTGAGTTTGGAACGTCAGGAACACCCCGGTGAAAGATCCGGATTTGGGTGGTAACGGGACAAGGCTGCTTAACGTAGCAGGTGATCAAAGCAGGTCCCCCTTAAACCGCTCCGTAACAATGCCACCCTGACCTGTACTCGTCCCAGTGCCCCGTCATGATTCTTGCCGTGTTTTTAACCTCCTCACTCCCAAACGCATGTTGTAATAATACAGAATGATGACATTTTGGCAGAGTTTGTGCACATGCCACCGACACAGGCTCACGCCATCAGTGCTCAAATGCGGCAGCCCTGTGCCAGGGTGGCTCATGGGTTCCGCTCCCGGTCCTGGGCCTGCCCAAAGCCACTGCCGGGCCCCCTGGGGACCCAGTCCAACACAGCAGTATTCTGAGCACGCTGCTCGGGCAAAACCACACGCTGGTTACCTCTGTCATTCTTCATTTTAGAAAGAAGGCCAGCGGGATGAGGCATCCAGCCGAAGCCCCCAGGCCGGGGGAGCCCTCACTCTCAGCGAGGTCTCAGAGTTCCTGAGTGAGCCGTCGGCTCCCAGCCCGAGGCCGAAGTCTCGGGAGCCCACAGCGAGCACGGTGAGCTCGGCTTACTCGGAAGATTTTGAAACAGCATCCGAGTCGAGGGCCTGTTCTGAGGAGTCTCCCGACAGGACGCTGGATGCTTCGACAGAATTCTCTGCAAGTCTGCAGCCAGACCTTGCCCTGCCAGCACTGAAGCCTTGGAAGAAGCAGGTCAGGGACGTTACGAGAGTCCTCGTGAAGGAGACAGCCGTGCAGACCCTCGATCCTGCCTTCACCTACCAGTGGGCAGAGGGTAAGTGGATGCGCCCCATGAGGGGAGCGCGGACTCCCGGGGTGCATGCCGCGGGCATCCTTGGAAACACGACGAAGAGTTTCAGGGTCTGGGGGATCAGGTCGTTGTCGTTAGCCGGCTTGGGAGGTGCCTCAGGGCCACGTTTCCTATTCCGAGGATGAGGGCCAGCTGTCTTGGGGGTTTGCCACTGCCTCCCAAGCTCTAAAATGTCCCAAAAGGTTTCGGGTCCCACAGCGAAGGCGGTGGTTCGCAATGTGGCGATCCTGTTCCCGGGGGACCTCAGCAAGGTTGGAGCCAGTTCTGGCTGTCGTGGCCAAGTGACAGGTTCATGGATGGAGGCGAGGGGCACTGCTCCATGTCCTGCAGTGCCCAGCAATGTCACTCACACCATTAGGGTTGAAATGCGGTAGCCCCGGGCCGACATTTCTTTTCACACCCAGTGTGACCTTCTAGATGTTTCTCTTGGCCCCAGCTTCAATCTTGGCCACCTGAATGGAAAGGTCCCTTTCTTTTAAGCCTCCCTCCGCTCTCTTTTCTCATCTTGATGGACACCCCCAGGGTTGCCAGAGCTTATTCCTGGGCTATGCGAGGCAGGGTACGGTTCCCCTGTGGTGTTCATTTTGATTTGGGGCTGCTTAGCCATTGATCAGCCTGGGCTGCACAGTGGGATAGGGCAGGGCCATTCTCTTGTTTCTCAGGGAGGAAAGTCAGGCAGATATGGCAAGTCAGATCGCTAGAAGGCGTTCAAGGTCCTGGGAGTCCAGGAAACCACCGTGTTTGTCTCCACAGCCTTGTGCTGCCCGACGGCATAGCCGGTTGTCTGACTCGGACGAATGTGTGCATTTCTGTATTGTTTTGTCATCAAACATAGCTGACACCATTTTCCTGGGCTAGGCCTAACATCGAAAGGCAAGGAAAACACAGCCTAAATAAACCGGATTTCAAGTTCAGGGCACATTCCTAAGCCTGACTTTGGCCCTGTAGATGGCCCTGTAGAAGGCCAAGGTAGGGGAGGGCCTGATGCCAGTTACCAGTCCACATGACCATAGTGACCGCTTGGGACAGCTCAACTGACTTGTGCCAGGAGAAGCTAGCAGAAGGATGGAGGCCGGCTTGGGCAGTTTGAAAGGGGGAAGAGGTTAACAAAGCCAGAAGGGGGGGCTATCCTGTTCAGAGGAGAGAAGATCAGCTTCATGTCTCACGTCCCAGCCACTGATGGAAGGTGTCCTACCCACTCGTCCCCTCCCGCTTTGTCCCTGGGATAGGGGCCGGCGTAGCGGCCATCGGGCCTGCCCTGGGAGGTGCTTACGTGGACCCTGTGCCCATTGCCAGTCATGTCGTCAGCGTGGACTCGATAGAAGGTAACAGTCTGGCGCGGCGGGTCCCAGCAGTGAGGATGCAGCTTCCGGGCCACCGCGGGTGGGGCGGGCCTCCACATTAGTGCCAGGTTCAGGGAATCTATTGGTGAAATTGTCACAGTCACAGACAACTGCCATGGTTCCTAGGGTCCCGGATGATAGACTGAGTGCCCGAGAACCTTTGGTCTGTCTTGCCAAAGGACACCCATGTCCGATAAAACAGGGGAGTCACGAGTGACACCTCTACCCCAGCTGGGCTATTCCTGTGTGTTTGTCCCTGTGCCTTTGTGTCCAGAATCCATAGTAGTTTTCCCCCCAAAGACACTCAGCCGGTACTGAGTGGCGGCCAGCCCGGCAGCCCCGGGGCCATGGAGCCTTGCTGAGTCTGGGGAGTGGCAGGGGCCCAGGCAGCCCTCCCGGCCTGTGGTGGGGGAGGCCCTAGCAGCTGCTGATGGGAGCCCAGACTGTGTCATGTCCCCACGGGGCCACTGACCCCTTGAGGGACACAAACTAGCATCTGTCCAGTACCTCTTATGTTTTTGTCCCTTTCAATTTTTTAAAAAGATGAAGATACTAAAATATAGTGGCTGTGACCACAGGATTGTTTATATCCTCTCAGAAAACCCTCCCCCTTAGCTAGCACCCCAGAGCTTGTTCCGTGTTGTTACGCGGCCTCCCGATGAGCCTTCTGGACGGTTGCACAACTTCCATTTTTCATTGTGTTTGAATTTAATGAAAACTTTTTTAGTTGTATTTTTTTATTATTTTAGTTTGGTGTTTAAGAACACATACCATGGGACGCCTCGGTGGCTCAGTGGGTTAAGCCTCTGCCTTTGGCTCAGGTCATGATTTCAGGGTCCTGGGATCGAGTCCACATCAGGCTCCCTGCTCGGGGGCGAGTGTCCTCCCTTCTCTCTGCTCATGCTCTCTCTGTCTCTACCAAATAAATAAATAATTAAAAAAAAAACCCCACATAACATAAGATGTCCCCTCTTAGCTATTTCTAAGTGTCCAGTTCAGTGGCATGAGGAAGGTTCCCGTGGGGCAGGGGGCCCTGACTGACTGGGCTTCCACCGCGGTCGGGTGTGAAGACTCGCGTTCCTTCCTGGGCGCTGAGCTTCCCACCCGCGCAGCTCCCGGAGCCCCACGCCACCCGTGGGAAGCAGCTCGCTCACTCCAGGGTAGGGGCACCTGGGGTGGGGGGCGGTGGGGCCTCGGGTACTTCGGGGGACAGTACCTTCCAGAAAGCATCCCCACGTGGCTGCATGGGGGCGCTGCAGGGCATGTGGGTCCCACGCGGGACCCTTCCCCTGCTCTGGGGCACACCGGTGGGGAGGCGGCCCGGGTGACAGGGAGCCGGTGCAGCCCTGACAGCCTACAGCCCGGCCGTGTTGGCGCTGAATGACATGCTGAAGCAGCAGCTGAGCCTGATGCAGCAGTTCGTGGAGGCCAGCCGGCACCTGCACGGGTCCCTCCTGCGGTCCCTGGACCGGGACTCGTTCCACTACCACACCCTGGAGGAAACCAAACAGGTGACCGCGGCACGCTGCCCTTCCCGGGAGAGCGGGCAGGGGCCTTGGCGCGTGGAGGGGACCGAGCTCAGCCTGGGCGGGCTGCGGGGACGCTGTGGACCCAGCCGCCTGCGGTTCCAGCTTAAGGAGCCTGCCTCTGACCTTGGAGCAAAAGCAGCCTCCTTGGGGGGGTGGAGGGGGTGGTTCTGTCCCTCGGCAGACCCTTCCCGAGCTCCGGCCCGGAGTGGCCTCTCTCCTCAGTCCTGGGAGCTGAAGCGCCGAGAATGTCACACCTCATTCTCTCCCCAAATTTTTGTCTGGTTATAAAAAATTTGTTCTCATTTCATGAAGATGGTGTTAGAGAGAGAGGTAGTTTGTAAAGCCCTCCGTAACTTCCAAGATGATTATTACCAACTCGATGTTCTTCAGATTTTCCCTGTGTAAACATGAACTATATAGTATATGTAGTCTACACAGTATTGTGTTCTCGTATGTTATCAAATATGTATTACCATGTAATAGGTAGAACATTCTATTTAATAATATGTATTTCTACATAGAAATGGCATCATACTCTGTGAGCTATTTTGCATGGTGACTTTTGTCCTTTTATCTACAAACGTTTCAGTCCCTAGTTCTCAAAACAAGGACTTTTGAAAAATACGGTCAGGATACCATAATACCAAAGCCAAACGAGCTTTTCCTAGTATCACTGGATATCCAGTGTTAGGTTTCCACTTGTCTCGTGCAAGTTGTACATTTCGTTACTGTTTTCATCAGAACCCAAAGTCCAGACACATCAAGATTGTCTGGGGTCTTTTTGTCTTCTGGTCAGAGAGCAGTGGGTCTGGGCTCTCGTGCCCACGGGGGGACCCACTTTGAGAACCCGTGCTCCACAGGTTTCCCCTGCTCCCCCCCCACCCCATCTCTCTGATGTCTCCTTGCAGTTTATTTGTTCAAGGAAACGGGTTGTTTGATCGACAGGTGCCCCATTCTAGACTGTCACTTGTAGCCCTGCAGTCCTTTTCCTCGGGTTGGTCCTACCCATTGGTTGATGGGACACAGCTCCAGGGTTCCGCCTGTGTCACCTGCCTGCAGCCCACCATGGCTCCTCACTGCCGGCGCTGGGCCCACATCCTGGGAGGGGCACTCAGTCCCCCTGTGCTCTTGGCGGCTCCCCTCGTAGCCCCCCTCCTTTGCCAGCCCCACCCCCACCCCCAGCCACGGTCACTCTTCCTTTTAGACCCGAGCCTTCTGGGTTCATCTCTCATTTCCACGGCATTGTCATGTGGCATCCCGCCTTTTTTTCTGTCCGCCTGTCCTGGAGCCACGGGGACAGGCACCACCTCCCAACACCCAAGCCTTCAGGAGACAGGCCGCTGTGGTGACACCTCTGTCCTCTGCCCCACAGTACATCAGGCAGCACAGGCCTGCCCCGCTGTCCATGGAGGACGCCCTGCAGGAGGTGAAGGAGGAGCTGTGAGCACGCAGAGGTGAGGCGGGGCACGTGGGCTCACGCCAAGCTGGTCCAGTGCAGTGGCTGTGATCCTCGTTTTCCAGGTGACCGTGGTGGGGGCAGGTGGCACAGAGGACTCTCCTAAGTGGAATCCCAGCTCCAGCCTTTCCGGAGTGCTTGACGCTCCCAGCCCCCACCTCCTCGGGGTGCCCGGCGCCAGACCCGAGAGGACACACCGGCCAGGGGAAACGGAGCTACGGGCGGTACGGTCACTACTCCTGGGGCGATGGAGGATGCCCGCCTGTCTGGAGCCCCGCAGGGCGGCTGGATGGGCCAGGGGCTGCCTTCCCAGTGAGTGGAGAAGATGGAAGGGGCGAGAAGCCCCGTCTGCGCCAGAGGAGCCCACACGAGACATCCACGCCGGGGACACCTGCGGGACACGCCAGGGCCCAGCTTCTGAGCGGACAGCACAACTCCACACGGGCCCACCGGGCACGCCCCCTCCAGACTCAGCCAGAGCACGCTTCTAACTTGAACACACAGAGAAAAAGGTCTTTAAAAAAAGTTTTTATTTGAAGGCAAAACAGTAAAATCACAAGAAATCGTTAACAGCACGTGTTTACGTTTTATCCTGAATCAGACACGTTTAAACAATTCACAGCTACAGGAAATCTAGAACAAAATCAAATTATTTTATCACACCAGGTCGAAAAGTTGGAGAGGACTCTGCATCTTACTGAAAAGAATTTCTGAAAAATGTTCTGTACAAAGAGACGGCAGCGCACGGGTTGCCCAGAGACGCCAGGCGCGGCCCGTCCCCGCAGACCAGCCTCCCGGCCGGGCCCCTCGACGCGGGGTGGGGCAGCCCGAGGCGCAGGCGGGGCTTGCTCTCCCCAGCCCGGCTCGGGGCGGGCCGTCCACACGAGCGCTGGTGTTGGGTTCCTCTAAGTGACAAACACAAGCAGAGACGCTAAGGGCCCAGGCTCTCCGAGGGCGTCACTCCATGACCTGAAGATGCCTCAGATCAGCTTCCTTAGAACTTCTGTTTCTGCAGGGACCGTGAGTGGCTAACGTTTGGGGGAAAAATTTCAACTCAAACAACTAAAGTTAACTGAACTACGGGCTGTGAGCACGCCCTAAGAGGAATCAGGTTCCAAATTCTCACTGGGATCCTCTTAGAGCAACATTCCCTTCTCTACAACTAAACATCTGGAGTAAAAATGAAAGCCCGGTGTAAGTGCCAATCAGAAAGGGTCTGTTTTTCTGTGTGTCAGCGGCGCCCGGCCTGGGGCCTGTCCTCCACGCTCCTCCAGGCCCGAGCGCGGACTGCGGGGAGGTGCGGAACGGCCATGCCTTCAGGCGAGGGGCTTCGTATCCAGGGTTGGAGGCTCTCGTGTTTCTTGCTTCTCTGTCGAGGGGAGGCGGCTCGTGGCTGGGCGGCCGGGGCATCTCCGGGTGGGCTCTGGCTTCTGCGGGGAGCTGGTCTGCAGGCGGGGCCTGGGGCCTCCCACGCTCTGGAGCATGGCACTCTCCCTAGGCAAGCTAATGTCTTCCTTCTCTTCTGTCGCTCCCCCGAGCTGTCCCTACAGCCTGTCACTGCCAGGGAGCCAGGAAGTTCGCAACGGCCCAACGCAGTAGCCGAGGCGCGGCTGCTGCCCGCGGAGCGCCTACTTGCACTCGTCTCTGGCCTTCATGCGGGCGATGAAGGAGTAGCTCTTGTTTCTGCGGTAGTTCTCGTAGGGGTCGTCCAGGGCCACGCCCACGCCCTTGTACTGGTCCCACTTGTCCCGGACGTCCCCCCCCTTGATGGGGTCCTGAATCCCTTGCTCTTTCACGCCGAGGCCACCAGATCCACTCCAGCCTTAAGAAGAAAGGGGGGAGGGCGGTTACAACGCACGGAGTCGAAGTCTGGCCCGTTTATCCATGAACTTAAACAAGACTTCCTGTGCAGAGCTGAATGGCGCGCGCCCGCGTGCTGTCCGCGCGCGAGACCGCCGTGCGGAGAGAGCACGCCCAGCGAGAAGCGGGCGGCTTCACCCTCTCTAGTTCTGGCAGCGAGCCGGACCCTTCTCTGGCTCCCCAGCCCCGAAAGCCCAAAGCGGGTGGTGGTTCTTCCCAGGAACCTTACCCATTTTCACCAGCATCTGATGTCCTTTGTTCTCTTCCCCGAGCCTTGAATCAGGTATAGGAGGTGCTGAATTAGAACCCAGACCAGCCGAGGAACTAAAATTAAGACAGGTTACGTTTTTTAAAAAAGAGTTGATACATTTATTGGAATGAAAACTCTTAGAATATTACAGCGTGTGGCGCGTGTGAACATTCAGCAGTGTTAGAGGGACACACACACACATCCTGGGTCTCTAGCATTCTTCTTCGTCATCTTCGCCAGCCGGCTAGGGGAGCTCCTACCCCGGGCCCTGCCCCACACTGAGTGGCAAGGGCAGGTCGCACGGAACCCCTGATGGCTGAGAGACAGCCCGCCGCTACCTCAGGCTTTACAACGTTACCACGGAAGGTACGAGCGAGGTGAGAGGTGAGGTGCCACTGTCACTGTGCTAGAACTCGTGGTCCCTGAGGGGCCGCCTCGGCACGGGCCACCGGGGGCACATCTTCTAGCGACAGCTTTCAACATTCACAGCAAAGCATCAGAGGCTTCCAGCGCTACCAGCGGTCGCTGGACAGTTAAGACAGAAATCTTACGGCGGGGTGGGGCTCCGGGACCGTGACCGACGTCTCCTTCCTGGGGAGTAGGACTTGGAGCGTGAGCGCGAGCGGGAGCGGGAGCGGCTGCGGGAGGAGCGGGACCGGCTGCGGCTCCTGCAGGGAGGACAGAGCGGGTGGTGGGCACGGCCACGGGTGCCACCGAGGGGCCCCAGCCCACGTGCACGGCCCCCAGCCTACCTGGAGCGGGAGCGGGAGTAGGAGCGGGAGCAGGAGCGCGATCTGGACCTGGAGTACGAGCCGGAGGACTTGGACGACCTCGAGTTGGAGCGGGAGGAAGAGCGCCCTCGGCTTTTGGATCGGCTCCGAGACCGGGAAGGGCCGCTGCAGAGAGAGGCCTGGTGAGTGGTGCATCTCGAACTTTCCGGAAGACCCCAGGCGGGCGGGTCTGGGTGCAGACCTGCCCATTCCCCTCAGAGGACTGGGCTCCAGGTCACAGCTGATCACACATGACGGCAAACCCCGCTGGGGCTGGCGTCTTAGGTTTTCACTGGGGCTTTGCGGGGAAAACCCACCCCGGAACCAAGCAGAGACCAGTCCTCCCTCCATCTGCCCGTCAGGGGAGCCAGGACGGTCCAGGGCGTGACTGGATGGAGGGTCTGCCGGGGTGTCTAACAGTGCCTCTGGCAGAGGCCTGCTCTAGCTCACGACGCAGGCTGACCATGCATGGGCACCCGGGCCCTCACCTGTTGCGCTTTTCCTGGCCCTTCCGCCGCCGCGCCCGCATCTTCGCTCGGAAGAACTCATAGAGGCCGTTCTGCTCCCAGCCTTCGCTGTAAGACACGGGCGGTTCCTGTGTGACTCTGCCAGCCTCCCTCCTGAAGGGAACTCGTGGCAGGAGTAAAGCCCACCGGGCACGTGTCTAGGTATGCAGGCTTCCCCTCCCTCATTCCCTCGGATGCTGAGCCGGGTCCGGCACCACGAGCGGCCCTTCCTCATGTGGGGAAGCAGGCTGAGGCTGGGCCGCCTGCTGGGAAGCAGAGAGGCCGGGCACAGGCCTGGCTCCCGTGCCTTTTCCACATCGATGTTTCCCAAAATAGCTCAGGTGGCTCTTATGGCCTATGATCTAACTGGGGACAAGGAGCTCTGACTCCTAGATGGACAGGCCTGTGGCCCAGAACAGGGCAGGAGGCGGTTTTAGCTGGACTGGTGACGAGTCCGTTGGAGGGTGTCCTGGCGGGGGGTGGGGTTGGGTTGGGGGTTCTCATGACAAAGTTTGGGGCACATAGCTGCCAGCCGCTTCTGAAACACGCCACACCTGAGAGGCCAACTTGCTCTAATGTATCCCCACTAGAGAGGCCCTTCGTTGAGAGCCACCATACGTGTGACACACATTACCCACAGCCAGGGGGGAGATGGGCCCTAACTCGGCCTAGCGCTGTACAGCCTGCCCCCTTTCCTCAGCTGGGCCTCATACCACCTGGGGCAGAAGGCGTGCTCATTAGCAGTCTTTCTCATGAAACCAATCCAGGCATAAGTCAGGCCAGGAGAAGGGGACAGAGGACCCTAATCCCAGCCCAGCCCCATCCCTAGTCCCCGAGCGCCATACCTGTTTCTGGGCCTGTCATGGGATGGGGGACTATAAAAGGCCTCCACGGCTGCCAACAGCCTCTCACTGGGCGGCATGGGAGGTGGGAGGCGGATGTCTTTTGGGTCCAAGGGCTTGTACTCATGGTCTTCCAGCTGTAGAGGAAAACACAATTCTCAGGCACACCCTGCCAAAGCACCCCCTCATACTCACCCAGGGTGCTGCAGTGACTGAGGGAGCAGGGTCGGGGGATACAGGGTTACCCTGGACATTAGCTCCTCCTGCTGCCCTTCCTGGGGAATCCCACCAAGGCCGCAGCCACACCAATGATCCGAATCTTAGGCGAGGTGGCGGAAGACTGCTTTGGGGCCAAGTTCTCTCTCCAGAAAACATGTGACACACATCCTCCAAGCCAAGGTGACAGTAAGACCCCTCAGTCTACTGAGACACAACAGGGATCCCATATGCTGCCACCTGGAGACTTCTGCCCTGTGCTCCCGAGTCCTATCCCGGGGCCCCCCTCCCAGGTCACAGCAGCCCCCGCCCAATCCAGGGAACCCCGTCGCCAGAAGCCAGCTCAGCTCGCACCCCTTGCTACCCCCGTGTGGCCCCTCTCAACTTCCCAGTCCCATAGGGCCTCAGGAGTGACGGGAAGCACCCCGCCCCGCCAGCACATCTCCGGAGCTGCTCCCAACCTAGCCTTGCTCCCCGCGCACCCCCAGCGCTGCCCCTCCCCGTGTTCCCTGCAGGCCCAGCTCGGAGGCCGCCCCTTCTCTAAGAAAGGCCTCCACTGTCAGCCCCTGAACAAGGTAGCTTCCCAGGGCCTGGATCAAGAGGACCCGCACCTCACACCTGGCCCAGCCCACTCCTCACGGCCACAAAGCGTGCAGCACCAGGAGGGATGTGTGGAAAGCGAGCAGAGGGGACACAGGCCTTGCTCGTTTTCGCCTCAGGAAGTCAAGT